GGTCCGCGGCGCTCCTTGTGAATGGGGGCAGCGTGGAGGATGGGAGGGAGGGAGGGATTTATCGCTGCCCGTTAGCATCTCTCTCCCTCGCTCTGCCCGCTCGCCTTCCCGGAGCTGGAGCTCTTAATGCTTACCTAAGTGGCGTCATCCAGCTGAAATTGAATCGGCCCATTAGCAGTCCCCATAGAGCCCTGGGCATCCGCTCCCCAGATAATGACTGAAATGGAGCAGCAAGTCATGGCAGAAGAGCAGCGGGTTTGGCTGCAAAGTCTAGGTCTGGTATCGACTGTCAACCCACTCTGTCACCTTGGGCAAATAGCTTCACGTCCCTGCTGCATGGTGGGTAGAGGCACCTCCTGCCACCTCGCACCTCTGCCCCGCTCTCCTCTTCATGGGGGAACTCATCTGCATTTTATAATAATCCAAAAGTCCAAACTAATACTGGAAATCTTGGGGGTTCCCTAGCAGATGCTTGGAGCAGAGAGGCAAGAAAGCAGCTTTTCTGTGCGGAGTTCACCCATTTGCAACGCACACACAGGACTAATCCACACCTCCTCATCCTCCCAGGAACCTCAGACTCAAGGCCAGGACAGCATCTAGACCATCCATCCCCAAATTTCCCATGCTCGGTGCAGTGATGGAATTACACTCTCTCCTGGTGCTGCTTTCTCAGAGGAGCTTCTGAGCACCAAGGACCCTTGTGACACCACCTCAGCCTTGTTTAAACAAAGTGGGACCTGGATGAGCTCTGTCTTGATGCTGGGTGTCAGCTCTGGTGTCAGCTTTGGACCCTGCAGGAGCTTCCACCCTCACCTCACTCAGTCCTTCCAGAGATGGTCACCCATTCTTTCCCAGGGCATTTTCTGGGTGATCCAAGCACCGTTAGCAGTTGGAGGTGGCAGGGGGAGGTGGAGAGCCGTCTCTGAGAAGTCAGACTGCAGCCATCAAGCCCTCCACATCCTGGCCAAGCAGCTATCCACCTGGGAACAGCCTGCAGCCACTTTCTCCTCCCAGGCTGAAACGCCGCAGAGAAGCTCCACAGAGCCTCGCCAACCTGCTGAGCCGCCCGTTGCCTCCTCAGCCGCCCCCATTTCCATTTCCCCTTCCTCCAGGCGCTCCCCCGGGGCAGGCCGCTGCGCGAGGCCGGCCTTGGCGTGGGCGTTCGCATTCCTGTCATTCGCTGCCGATGTCATGAGGACCCAGCGTGCCAGGGCAGTGGGGAGCCTGGGGTCTGGGTGCATGAGAGCAGGCGGGAGCAGAGAAGGGAGCACAAGGGGCCTGAATAAGGGTGATGGAACCAGCTCTACTGGCACTGACCAGTGTGATCCCCCTGACCTCCATGGCTCCCTCCATGCAATCGGCAGATCTGGAGTCCTCTCCAGCAGGGGCTTGTGCCCCTATTCCCTTCATGCACTGTATCAGCTTCTTATTAGTTTTTCCCATCTGAGCCTTTCTAAGTTCTTTTTTTAGATATTTCAATATCTTCAAGAGATCCCTCCAGAGATGCCCCTCCATCTCCCCCTTGGAAGAAGAGTCTTTCTCCCAGAGGAAGATGCTCCTGAGAGCATCTCTCAGCTTGGATCACAGCTCAGAGGCACCAGCCTTAACTCAGCACATCTGTGCCCAGATCAGCCCTTCCTCTGCTCCACCCAAGTACACGTGGATTTGAGCTGGCTTCTTCCTAAAGGCACAGATAGGAGCCAGTTGCCCACTTCGTCACTAGTGCCAGCTGGCTGTGAGCACCTGACTAGCAAAAACACATGCAAGTCTTCCCTTTCCCTCAGCCAACATCCATCACTCCCACCTCGAGGTACCGGTGATTCAGACCTCCCTGCACTGCTTCGCTGCATCCCAACGCAGCCCGTTTTGTGCTCAGACTGAGGTTGCTGCGCTCCTCATGCTCCGAGGAGGGAGGGCCAAGGGAATGCAGAGACACAGGTGCAAGTGTCAGATGCTACCTGTGACAACCAGCTCAAGTCGGATCCCAGCTCGTTAACTTGCATTTTGGATTGGTTTTGCTCCCTGCACCGCCCAGTTTGAATCTGACACCTTTTAATCCCTGGAACACCTTAGGGTGCTGTCCTAAACCATGGGGAGCGCAGCGGCTCCCAGGATCCCCACTCGCTGCTCTAATTTTAGTGGCTTCCAGCAGGTCCCCTCTCGTGACAGCTGACAGCACCCAGGATTTGGGCAACAAGGGACATTTCTATGAGAACACTTTCCCCTTGCTACTAAGACCAAGTGAACATGCTCTAAGAGCCTTCGTCTCCTGCTGCAGATACCCACCCTGGGGGTGTCTTTGTCCCTAGCAATCCCAGCAAGCCACGTATAACCTCCCCTAGCTTTTCCCTTTCTGCTTCTCCCGCAGATCCCCAACCGCAAAAAGGTTGTCTCCCTTCCCCTCCTCAGAAAAGTGCTTTCATAGCTGCACACAAACACAAACAAAACAGCTAAATCTGGAGCCTGAAATCCTTAATTAAAAAATTCCCACTCTAAATATCAAGGGGAGCCTGGCGCTCTTTCCTAGACACTCTGCCCGTCCACCTCCAGGTCTAAGCATCTCTGATTCTGCTTCGCAGACAGCCTGACAATTAACCGCTGTGAATCAGTCCGGAAGCAGCAGTGGAGGGGAGTATATCCCAGAGCAAGGCTGAAGATGTCTGATCTTTTCTGATGCTATTAGCCAAGCTTGGGCACAGGGGGAGGGAAAATTCGCCCTCGCTTAAAGATGATGCAGGAGTAAAAAAAAAAAAAAAAAAAAAAAAAAGGTGTGTGTGGGGGGGGGACAAAGAGAACATATGATTTCCCTGATTAAATCAGCCAGAATCAATGAGGTGCTGGTGCCTTCTAATTTTTAGATTCACAGATTTTAGGGCCAGAAGGGACCATGATGTTCATCTAGCCTGACAGTCTGTATTATATAAAAGCCACTTGAAGCCAGACAGTGCCACTAGCTTTTTAGAAGCAACAGCAAGCGCTGGGGAAGTTATTAAAAGACTGTGATTCTCCCAGGGTGGAAGGGAAGTGTGGCCGGCTCCCACACACGCGCTTTGGTAAAGAGCAGCCCAGGTACCTCCACCCCATCGGGCACAAGCTGCACAGACAGCAACTCCAGGGGAAAGAAAAGACTTAATTTCCCATTTATATCATGTTGTTCCTTTGCCTTACAAACACGGATAAGTGGGCAGAAGACAAACAAATAGCCTCCACCCCATCGGCACAAGCTGCACAGACAGCAACTCCGGGGGAAAGAAAAGACTAAATTTCCCATTTATGTCATGTTGTTCCTTTGCCTTACAAACATGGATAAGTGGGCAGAAGACAAACAAATAAACAAACAAACAAAAAAACAGCCCTTTTGAATCTTCCCTAGCATCCCTGGAAAGAAAACAATGTGCAAACATGCTGGCCCAAAGACCTCTTGCTGCTTTGCTGCAAAACCCTGCTAAAGGTGCTAACATCCTTTGCACTGATGCAGTTCTATGGCAGTTGGAGCTGAACCCGACCGGCCGTGAGAGCCAGATCCTGAGCTCCATATTCAGCCTGCGGCGTGAGCGCGAAGGTGTAGTCATTGACTGCAATGTGAGTTTGCCTCTGAAGATGGTGGGTCCTGCTGACTCACTGATGCGGATGGCTCCATCGCAGCGCGGACGGCGGGGAGGAGGGAGGCGCCGTCTCAGGGGAGAGCAGCAAGTGCCGGGCTGGGTGAGGCGGACGCGGCAGCACCCAGGGCTGAGCTGGGCACCCCTCGCGTGTCTGCACGGCCAGGCGCCGCATGCAGAGGCAGCGATTTCCCCTGGTTTCCCCTCAAGCTCAAGGGTGTCCTGGTGCTCTCTGGTGCTCAGCACCTTCCCACCACTCCCGCCCACCAGGACACCCAGCACTCATTGCCAGACCCACTGGGGAACCAAGTTCACGAGGACTTCCCCTCCAACCCATCTCCTCACAACCTTCAGTGACACCCAGGTCCCTAATGTGCTCTGCTGTCCCTCAGCACCCCTGCAAGCTCATGCAATCTGGTTCCTCTTGCCAGTCCTGACCTAGCATCTTTGGGACATTAAAGCTGCTCTGTGGGACATGTTCAACCCTTGTTCCCATGACAGTCTCTTTTCCTTGCCTGGGTGGCCGTTCCTGTACCACCAGCTCTTTTCCTGCCTCCTGAGCCCCGCACTCCTCATGATGCCTCTCCACCATCCCGATCTCTTCCAGGAGCAGTCACCACCTGCCCTCCCGACACTTTCCGGAGAGCCATCACACCCACCAGATGCACAGGGACAGCTGGCTGTGCTCAGCCCTGCACACAGCACGGAGCTGGTCCATGCATCCACCTGCAGATATTCCACTTCTTGCTCCTCACCAAGCCCAGACCAGCATCGTGCTTCCCGGGCACCTGCTCCTCTCCTGGTGACACCCTTCCCGCTCCAACCCAAGCCAAGGGAGATTCACTCCCCACTTGCAGTTTTTCCACATTTCTTTGCTTGCAGCACTGTGAGTCCCAGCTTCAATGTCACTTTAACTTGGGTGCCTGTGCATGCAGAGGAGAAAGGCTGGGTATTAAATTGCCAACGTGGTCACATGTTGCCTGAGATTTGGCCGTAGCTAAGCAGCATCGCCCCCGCGCTCGCTTTTTTGGCTGGTGACTCCTCTGCTCGGCGTAAAGCGGAGCTGGGGAAGAATAGGAGAAACTGGAGGGGGGAAAAAAAAAAAGAGGCGAGTCATTGTGAATGTCAGGAGCTCCTCAGCTGCCGGTGTGACAATCATCCTCCTCCTCCAAACTCACTCCGGGTGAGAGCCAAAGAGAGAGGATTTCATGAGGATCTGGTAGCGAGCTATTTTCAGAGCTGACATCCTACCCACTGCTAAAAATAGTTGCTCCCCTCCACACAAACCCGGGTTTCTTTTCTGTGAAACTTTCACAGACCTCAGCAGTGCTCAGACCTTGTGTTCTCCCCGCATTCGCGCGCTTCACTCTGCCTTCGTCCACTTATTCCCCCCAGTCCTTGTGCGCCCCTCATTTCCCTCTGCCCTCTGTCTCCTCCCCGTCATCCTCGCAGCCCTCAGCCCCATCTCCTGGTCGCCCCAAGGAAGTGAGATGATGCCCGAGCGCCCCAAAAGGAGGCATCACCTGCGGCTCTTGGAAGGGTGGAGGAGCCTGGTTGGAGCTTGGGGCAGAGCCTCCCGGCCCGCGCACCCACCAAGCTGCCCGGCTGAGACTTTGCCACCACGCGAGGACAGAAGTCGCAGGCAGCAGCTTTGCTTTGGCCTGCAGCACTTCCAGCTGCTGCTCAGGGCTCCGGCTCGGAGGTGCAAAGCTGGTGGCCCTGGTGTTGAGAGCCTGGCCTCAGACACCAGGGAATGGGTCAGCAACAGCAAAGAGCCCCCACTCACCCCCTCAGGGAGCCAACGGCCAGGCCATCTCCCAGGGTGACAGTGGGAAGTGCTGCCCACCCATAGGGAGTGGAAGTGGCATTTTGCCGCGGTCACCTCTAAGAGGATTCCTAAAAACAACACCTAGCCTAAAAACCCATCCCTCCCCAAGGGCCTCGGGGTCACTGCTGCTGGCCCTTATCTCGCTGGGACCTGCTTGTAATTCCCTACCTTCATTAGTGCTGCTACCCTGGAGGTATTTATAGCCAGCATGCCTATACCCACCGCCAGCCTTTCTTAAAGACAACCCAAATTTAACTCTTCCCGTGCTCTTCCTCCTTGCGCCGCCAGCCTGGCAGTGCAGACCCTCGCTGCTGAGGTGCCACCCAAGCGCAGAGCCTTTCCCGTTGGCTGCACGTGCCCTCCCAGGCTCATCCTTGCATCTTGGGCGTATCTTGGGCCCTCAGCAGAGGACACAGGCCACCTGGGCTCCTGTGACACACCAGCACAGGCAGCACGGACATGGATGTATGGCAGGTCATGGCAGGGATGTTCTTTGGGTTGGGGTCTCTTTTGAATTGCTCCCACTTCTAGGCAAGCAGTGCCTGGAGTGGAGGGCTTCAGCGTCTTATCAGGTAGTGGGAATTATCAACCCGATGCCCAAATCTGCTACGGGAGCATCCCGGCACATCCTCCTCCTGCTGCGTGGGGCTGCCCCAGTCGGCGGCTCCTGCCCGGGGGCTTCGCGGGGCCGCGGAGACGCTCTGCTCTGCTCGCAGGACGGCCGCGCGGCGCTCGCCTTCGCCCGCTGCCCGGGGCCGGTGGGCGCTGGCCTTTCAGCGGCCCTGGCCGCCCGCCAGACAGCCATTTCCTGGTAATCTAATAGCTGCAGCAGATGAACTGAAATGCATTTCCTGCCACCGTGCTGTAAAAATTTTATTAATGTAAGGAGAGAATGCACCGCTGGCTTGCGCTGCACGGCGCGGAGGCGGGGGGGACGTGGCACCGCAGACGGGGAGCGGGGGCAGGAGTCCGGCCCTGGCGGCGTAGCGGGAGGTCGGGGCTCCCGGTGGAGAGCGGGGAACGAAAGTTGGAGCAATTGGAGCAAAGTCGGTTGCCACACATAGGGAAACTGAGGCACGAGGCAGGGAAGCGCCTCCTGTGGAGGACAGAGCGGGATGCGGCCCCCAACGGTGCCCCCAGGCAAAGGACGGCACCTGGGGAGCTCTCTGCAGCCACCGCAGCGCGTTGTCCTTGAGAGCCACCTGAGACAGACCCAGGCGGAGTCACTGCCTGACCCCGGGCAGGAACCTCTTTGGATCGCTGGGATCCGCCATCCCCAGCAGCACCGCGCA